TTTGTAATTGTATGTTTATATCATTTGTTACCTTGCATACGTATGCTGTCCGGTGTCGTGTTTGCCTGAGTCAATTTAACTAATTTTCTGGCTTATTTTCTATACTGTGAGTGCACTTGCATTATTATTAGTATTATTATTTTTTTAATTTTTTTTTTGCTCGGTACCTCACTTAGGGAGGCCATCTCATTGAGCTTTGCTCATATTGGTCATTCCCTACCGTTTGCTTTTATTTTATAAAAATGTATCTTGATGGATTTCTTTAAACGGTGAATAAAAAACTTGAACTTGTATGGAATAATTGTTCCGGCGTACCTGCCAAATCGTTTAGTGTCTTTGTTTCATTTTGGAACGTTCGGTACTAAAAAATCCCAACTTAGCTCCGCTCTACTTCGAAGTGCGCATGCGTAATTATGAACACAACTTTTCTACTGATTTTGCGTGTCTATGAAACAATAGAGCTATTATACCTGCTTTAGAGAGCAGCTTAGCTCAGTTGGAGATTCTTGGTCCCCGGTTCATGAACCTTCCCACTAAGCCCCGCCTTGGATATTATTGCTAAGGTTCCACCAGAGAGATGTAAAAAAATTTTATTTTTTACATCTCCCTGGTCCCACTACTGAAATGCAATTTTACGATAAGACATTTAACCCGTTGGTCCCGTGTGCATTATGGCCCATGTGCACGTTAAAGAAGGCCGTACACTCTTCGGAAAAGAGTAGGGGATTGTCTCCTAGTGTACTGCCCATTCACCAACGGAAGGGCCCCACTGGAAATAAGTCTTCTTTAGATTTTTGTGGGTCATCCTTCGTGTTTACCGAATAAATCCAATCCACGTTGAAACCGTATGCAAGTATAGCTAATATGCCTAATGCACAGCCACATTGGCTGATGTCACGCACTACTATCCTCAAGTGACACTTTAATCTCCAATTAAGCTATTCCCAATATTATTCTCCCTCAAAATTGGCCTATTAGGTCCTATTTAAAAAAAAAAACAATTTAAGTAATTATTAGTAATTATAACGATGATTTGGAACAACACGCCAACATGTTAATGCATTTTCAATGTTTATAACAAAAACGCATCATTTCAATGACGGTCACAAAATTATTTAGTAAATGCTTGTATTATTGTTGAGACTATTTATCGACTTTTTAGTAGAAAATAATTTTTCTGAAGATGACGATAAGAACAACCTCAACAACACAACCTTTTCTTCAGCTCCACGTGCTGCAGTATACAGCACGCATTTACTAGTTATTAGGTCTACTGTCCAGTTAGGCTGAACTATTCTATAACCATTTATACCCAGTCGCCGCCTATTGTATTAGGCCTATTTTTAATTAAAACCAAAGCGTATTTGATATTAAGACGATGGTTTAAATTTGGATAATGAATTATTAGCATTATGTTTACCAATAATAAATAAATAGTAAACTCTAGTATGTATAAATAGGCACGAATTGTTTATAAAATAAAACAAACTCATTGTGTTTCAAAACACAACATCAGCCAAGAGTGCATTTGACATTTTACATATCATTTCCAGCCTGGACATTTAAAATGATACGACAACAGAACTTCTAATACTCCTTAGGGGTTTGATCCTTAGTAGACATAAAATGAGAAACATTTTTATACTGCCATAAAGTTATGAATTTTACCTCTTTAATTAAGTGTTTCGTTACCTTATTTAAACATCTACGTAAAATGAACTCACCTGGTTTTCCTAGATAAGGCAATCTAACCCAAATCTTAATCAAGCTATCATCAGTAGGCCTATGTACACATTTAGGTTCATTTAATTTCTTAAGTACATTATTAACTTTTAAAGGGTACCCATTCCAAGACAGCCCTCCTTAAACTAACGTTATAGAATACCGCACTTTCGGCGGTAAAGAACAATTAAAACCTCATAAAAAAGGCAACTAATCCGTTTACCCATAATTGAATCCAAGGACACCAATGTTAAACACTCAGTACGGTACTTATCCTTGATGCTTGAAGTTTATCAGGAGTACACAATCTGTGGGCTCTAGAAACTAAACTACGAATCCAGGAGATCCTATGGTTCCATGATGATCATAATGGACATATTGACCTGTATGTGTATTTTTACGATATATACTCATGCTTCCTACACTGTTGTAAATCCAGAAAATGTACTGTGTCACTGTTTTCAAATGATTCAAAGGTAAAATTTATCTGTCTATGAAAAGCATTAAAGTAGCTTAGAATTTTCGGGAAATCATTGGGCTTAGCTAATACTAGCGTGTCGTCAACAAAACGAGTATAAAACTTAATAGTACCTGATTTAATAAGTTTAGGAACAATAGACTCTTCTAGTTCAGTCATTAAATATTAGTTAAAACTGGGCCAAGAGGCGAACCCATTGAGACACCATCAGTTTGTTTATAAAATTCATTATTACATGTAAATACAGTTTTAGTTATACACAATCTCTAAGTAGTTTCCTTAGCGAATTTTTCTTAAGGTTAGTAGATATCAGTTACTTATTGTAAACCCTATCAAGAATTATATTAATTACCGGTACCTTAGTAAGGGGAACATTTGTAAACAGAGATTCAACATCAAAAGATACAAATCGGTAACATAAATTATATAAATTGTTTGGTATAGCTTTAATACGGTCAGCAGCATCAAACGAATCTTTAAGGACAAAACCATTAACCGTTAGAGGGCCTAATAAGTTTGATAAGAACTTAGCTACTGAATAATAACAAGTACCGGTCGTGTCTATGTCTTAGGGGTGGAATATTATCAAAATCTTTATGTAATTTAGGTAGTCCATGGGCTCTAGCAGGCATGGTTGATACTGGACGAATTTCTTTGTATTCAGTTTCAGTTAGTTCATTTCTATTAAATAGTGTCCGGAGGTAGGCTTGTAAGGAGTTAGCTGCGTGGTTAATGAACAATTAGACAGTTTCTTAAACTTAGTTGAATCAGAGAACAAGTTCGCCATAGATATGATATAATCAGTTTTCTTCATTATCGCAACACCATTTCCTGGGAAGCAATTAGAAACTATGGACACAGTTCACCCAAACCTAGGTTATCAAAATATGTATACCGATGTCGATAGTATTTCACTTGCTTTTGACAACCGATCGATATTCTGTATCTGTATCTGACTATTACTGCATAACGGACGGTGTATTTTTCTAATTGGTCTTTGGAACGTACCAGATCGCTTTGCAATGTTATGTCTGATTGTTATTAGTATTTCGCAACTGCTAATGCAAATAAAAATAATGAATGTTGCAGTGAAGATGTCAAAATCTCTGCAAAATGAATCAACATCCAGAAATGAAATGAAAGCTCTCAAGACGACTATTTTGATCATCATTACATACTACGGATGCTTCCTTCCAAAGTCTTATTTTATAGTCATACGACTTTCAGCCTTTACAGGTGAGCCTTTCAATTCTCACTGTGCTTCGAGTGATGACTGATATAATTTGGATAAGCAATAGTATAGTAAATCCCATAATTAATACTGTGACTAATTCGGCAATAAATAAACCATTCGCGAATGGTTCTAAAGGTACGGTAATACCGTAAATGCTCGAATAAGCACCGCGGCGCTTATACATGATTTTTAGAGGCTTCAGTGCGGTGCTTATAAAAAAATATTGGCGTAGCACTTTCCATGCCCGTTCCCCGTGTTACCTATCTTGCGTACTCCCGTAGTTCAGTAAGCCTATCATAGGCCTATCACGTCATCGTAAATAAATAAATACTTGTGCCTTCATTGTTCATTCATTGATTGGTAGTTGGTTGGTGATTGACTGGTTGCTGTTGGTTGGCATTGCTCTACTGAGGCTTTTCTGTAGGAAAACTAATTGATTGACTTTACGGGCCTAGGCCTACACAAAACGCCAACCACCTCTCACTTAAATTTGAAATTATCAAGAACAAACTAACACAACAATGCAATGCCAGTATAGAGTCACTCCCGTTCGAAAACAAAACTTATGTTCGAAATACAAAAAGCGCATTCCAGATCGGAGCAGGTTGCTCGACCACCACCATTTCCATTCAATTATCGCATCGATCGTTGTTTTCATAATCACTTACACACACTAGTCTATCTATCTTCGCAAATAGCCATATCATCTTCATCGCTGTTAGGCCTGCGCCTTAGACAAAGAAATTCCATCAGTTCAAACATGGTTCAAACATAGGAGATGTGTATGCATTTGAACCAGCTCGTGTGGTACGCGTTCATTTCATCATGCCTACCTCGGTGCATTAATTTTGTCGCGTGGACAATCTATTACCAGTGATGGAATGCGTCATTCCACATACTCTCGCAAAGCCTAGGTTTATTTTGAGTTCAACACCGACGAGTTTTGTTACGGCAACTTAAATAAAAGGCTTCATATCACTTGTCTTGTTTTCATAGCAACATGCGGTTACGGTGATACATTACCATCATATACCAACAAGAAGCACCTTCTCAATTCGAACAAAATGTAGTTAATGTGATTATAAATGAAGCGTGTAGGCATCGGCTTGGGTAGCATGAATTGATAAAGACTATCATAGACGTAAGGTCCTGTCCACACTATCAAATTTTACTTGACAAAAACATGTGACATGCCTAAATATGGTCATGGTGACATCACATGATGACCATATACAGGCACATCATGACTATATATTGGCATAGGCACTACTACTTTTTGTTTTTGTCATAGAATTTGGTAGTCTGAGCCTTGAATTTGAAACATTTCCAATGTATACGGTATTCTTCTAATAACTGCTCAGTTTTATTTCTTTCGTTCTTATTACAAATGTTCCCACAAAGTAGAATTATAGGAATGAATCATGAAACTATTTCCGGGGCACTCGAAATACAAAGATGTTGGCTACTCAGCGAGGAGGGCTAGCATGCTATGCGCTTGCACTTATGGACTATATGTCTGTCTCTTATACACATCTAGATGTGTATAAGAGACAGGCTAATACTAGCGTGTCGTCAACAAAACGAGTATAAAACTAATACTTTCAAGTTAATTACTTTCAAGTTCTTCAAAATTCAAGGTGTTCCCCTCTTGAAAATTATTATAATGAATCAATGAACCCAGAGAATGGGAGGTTCGAGTTCTTTCCGGGAAAATGTTGATTTCTAAATGGTGGACAATGAGATTTTTAATGACTTATTGGTTGACTTTATATTAGTCCATTGGCTGGTAAACAATTAAAAACATTTTAAGTCTCTCAATTAGCAAAAAACCTCATTGTTTCAATATTTGTCTCATTGAAAGTGTTTACCGTTTAAAAAATAAGTAATGTTTATTCCTTTTTAAAAGGGTTTTCTAGATTCTACCACGGACCTGCTATAGTACCTCATATCGTTAACATTCCTGTCTTTAATTTTCTTGCAAATACACTTTAAAACAGTGCAAATTGACGTAGAAAATACACGCTACTTAACTTTTGCATCGCACAAGTGTGTTGCAGGATTTGCAGGCTACCCTGGCCGGCATTGCCTTTTTCGGTATGGTATGCGCTTTCAGCTGTTGTAGTACAATCGTACAAGTAAAGCTGCCCGAGATGAACAATTAGGAATAAAAGATGATGATTAAACAGGTGATTTAATTAGATCTAATATTGATTTACGTGAAATAAAGGAATTATAGTTAGATTGATGGAAGGCTGAGATTAACCAAGGATTTTGGTAAACAAATCATTTAATGTTTTCTATTTAGGCCTATACAGTGTATTTGCTAAGGCCTATGTCATAAGTTAGGCGTACATCGGCATGTTAGCTTTGCACCCATCCATGTTGTATATTTAGTTTGTGAATCTTTTTATGAACTGAATAAAATAACCAAATTGAACCATAAACCGCTAATGCGATTTATGATGTTTAAGCCGATTATAGGACTTCATCTTTTAATATAATGAATACAACTCTTAGGCCTACATGTTTCCATCCAGTACGGTAGAATACTTTAGCGACCAAGGCTTTCATAGTCTTTAGCAGCTTTGGTCTTTAAATAGAGCAATAATAATTATAAAGATAAAGATTGGGGATCATCCAGTGCCAGAGAAAATTGGGCTTTACTGGAGGTGGTCTTTAATTGGGGTCTTTAATTAAATGTATTTTAAACATATTTACCAGGCCTATCTCAATGAAAATGTTGTATGATTGATATAATTATACACGCTCCTAATAAATCGTTTTCATTCAACATTGTCATTTCGCTTGGCCTGCACTCAAACAATTTCCATTCCTGTAACAGAGGCCAAGAAAGAAGCGTTTCACACGTCGGGCGTGTGAAACGCTTTTTTCACCACTATAAACGAAAATCGTATCTACAGAGTATGAACTAGTGAGTAGATAAGAAGAAGAACTCATCAACGGGCCTAGAGCTCCTGTTTTAAAATCTGATTGTTTTATGGCTTTTCATTTTCGTTTTAACTTTCTATTCCTTTTAAGCACTTTTAAATACGGTACCGGTATCTTATATTTCTGTATGGCTCATGTCTTGTTGCACTTCTTTTCCCCCAATGTTTTATTAAAAATACACTTTGATATACATAATATGTAATGTTTTTCTAGTTTGGTGTGAGTATGGTTGAGATTTCAATCTTGCTAAAAGTTTGTTTAACAACTTACTTCCACCAAGCACCGTGGCATTGAAAGACATCGAACCAATGTAGGCCTACCACATCCTAATTTGTCGAAAAAAACAACCCGGCGGCGACAGATTTCAGTCGCGGGACAGTCCATATGTTGCATCCACATCTAAACACATTTTAAAATAATTTTTAAAGTTGCAGAGCTTTCGGTTGATAACACTTCATAACTTTTTATCATTGTTTTTAAGATTTATTAACTTTACACAACTGAAAATTAAAAATTTCCGTTTTTGAAAGCATTATTTCCTTATTTGTCCGACTTGACCCGAAAAAATTGAGCCTTCGTTGAACACTACATACCGCGAATTCTTACTAATTTATCCCGATGCTACAGGCGGTGGTACGGCGAATCAGATCCCGCACATGCGCATTTGTAAATCTTACCACTTGTTGCACGATCATCAAAGCTAGTTCGTAAGTTTGCCTGTTGCTCCGACGATTCATCATATGGTGTGTAGACCGCCAACGAACTAGTCGCAAGGCGTATATTGTACATAAACTTTATATTTTGCTTTCGACGAAGTTGGTCAGTTGATTGTCACTGGATTTACTCCATCCATCAATATGCCGCGATCTTTCTTAGTTCGTCGATTCAAAAATGCTTCTCCGTCTCCAAACGAAGCCTGGTTAAATTGTACTGCAGAAGTTCCAGGTAGGCCTAAACATGTATTTCAATTTCTTAACGAATTTCTTAATATAAATAATGGTTAGACTAGATGTTATTTAAATATTACTTTGGTGATCCATTGTTTTATACCAACATCATTGCAATACTTCCAAGAACGTACCTTTTACAGTTACTGTCGGATTTTTGTGATTTACTGGAACTGGAGAGTTTGACGAAGTACGTATCCAAAATTTGAGCGGCTTTCGCGGGAAATATACAATTTTCAGTTCATTCTCTTTTTGTTAAGTCTTCGTCTGACCACCCATCGACTCCACCCAGTTAACTCCATCCCAATCTGGCGCCGTATTCGTCTAACACAGACCCAGTGTGAACGGGGGTTTTTTTAGTCAGTCTTCTTCACTGGAAACACAACGACCTAATTATGGATCAGTCCTCTAATGCTGACTAAATCTGATGAGGTTACCGTACTGCTAATATCAAGAATAATACGCATAACTGTAATTTCTGTGAGTTCTACTTTTAAACAGTTTTCGGAAGCGATAACTTATAAGACGTAATCAAATTATATACATATCATATGTACATATATTTTATATATATATATATATATATATATATTATATATGTGTTTATACATATTGTTGAGAAATGTTACTTTAGTAGTGGGAGTAAATTGACAAAATATTCTCCATTTTCCCCATTTCTTTGATTGTTAAAACGTTTTATTTATAAATGATTATTGTATAATTCATTGAATTATGTTCAAAGAAAACAACAGAAACTGTCATTGTCATTGTAATAATATTCCTTAAGAAATATTAAATTCGCCATGTATGCGAAAGGTAGTGGTGGAACGTTTAGCTTTTTCATATTTTTTCTGTATTTGGCATATGCAAATGACCAATAAATTCTACAGAATATCGAATACCTTTCAATTATAGGCTTAGGCATTTATATAGTCCTATCTATGGCTTATTAATTTATTTTTTTTATAGTATAGGGTACCGTAACAGCTGGAACAGCTAGGCTCCCAATAAACGCAATAAACGGAGCGTTGCGATTGGAATCAACGAGACTTTGAAAAAGAATATCCACCGATACCCTTGAGAAAGGTGGTCCTCACTTATGTTCC